CTGAAGAGAATGAAAATGTGAATTTTCTCTGATGGTCTTTCTTATCTAAGAATCATGATGGAGAATGAAGTACAATCATTTTTTACACAGTTTATCTACTCTAGATAATGGAATCCAAGATATGAACATAAATCAAAGTTAGCCAGTGTAACTTGAAAAATTTAAGAACACATGTAAATGCTAAGACTTCTTTTTGTATGTGGGAGCCAAGTCTCACTAAGGTCTTTTAAAATTGAACACTTTTCCTTTTATTGTTTTTATTATTGACTAAGTTTACTAACTGTTACAAGTTCAAGATAGAAAATTCCATGGAGTTCCCCAAGGATTGGAATGATGACTTCTTTAAGGTCACTGGAAGAAACATTAAAGTACATTGTAACTCCATTTCAAATATATATGAACCAGAAGTTCTCATAGAAAACCTTTAAAAGGTCTGTTTTTATTTAATATATATATCTATATGAAAAGAAATATGGTATAAACATGATGAAATTTAGAATTCAATGATGTCAGATGATATTCTTCCAGTTATACCATATCAAATTTCAAATTGCAGTTCTTTGAAGCGTTGTATTTTGAGTGCCATCCACCCACGTCTGAATAGACTATTTCTCATTTCTTGTGATGCATATCTTCTGAACTTACACTGTGGTTAATTACATTATAATTATCATTCAGTTTTAGTACAGAGATTTCACATGTTTTAAGTGCTTGTGATCAGCCTTTACTTTGTTATATCCTTATATATAGCTTTGTCCTTTTATTTGTACTTACAGTTAATTTAATTTTGACAACTCCTGTTCTAATTTGCATTTTATTTATTTGAATTCAGTTATTTTCACTTTGAAACATTTTAGTTTCATAACCTCTCAGGTTTTAAATCATTACAAATGCCAGCTATAATATTTTTCTAAGAATTTTCTGGATACAACATGGCAGGTGCACATATGAACTCACAGTAATTGTGACAGTTTCCCAAGACATGGAAAAGCTTAATCCACACAAAACCTAACCCTGAGATAGTGGATATGAAGTCCCTCCTTTATCAGAAGAGCTACTGGCATGTGATAGCTGTGGTATAAATCAGAGTCAATTTGCTTTTTTAAATATGTATCTATAGTGTTAGTGAAGAAGCAGGGGGATCAGTTATAACACCTTCAACCTCAAATGTAAAGTAGAGAGAGAATGAACTGGAAGTTGGGTGAGGCTATGTAGTCTCAAAGTCCACAGTGATGTGATCCTTCAGGATGCTTCACTTTGAAAGGTTCCACACTCTTCCCACACACCAACCAGAGACAAAGTGTTCAAATAACCAAACCTAGAGGGACACTTCTCATTTAAACCACCACACATTACTTTTTATGTAATGCCATTACCAATATTATTGACACTGTTTCACAATGTTTTCAATTAAGGAGCCAAATATTTATGTACACTAGATATAAAATGTGAATGTGAGAGTTCTATAATGACTATGGTTGTGTACTTTCATTTGGACCATGACCAACATATATAATATCCAAAGCCCTTAGCAGATACATAAAAGAGCTACATAAAGACTGGAGAGTAAGGGACAATCAAGTAGATACCCACAGGAAAAATTATAATCTCAAGAAAAGAAAGATTAATATTGCACGAATTCTCCACTTTTTACAGTCTTTATCTGGAGGACTTTTAATAATAGTTTCCATGGAAAATAGTTTTTGGCTTGAAGAACAGGATAGAGTTCAAAACCAAACTGACTGGAAAGCCACAGAATGAAGTCCCAGGACAAAGCAATCCAGAGACTCAAACTTCTAAATACTGTATGGGGACTTGTCCCACAGTTCTAGTTCAACCCTGGCACCCTGGGAGGACATGGAGTATCTCAGAGAAGCTAAATTAGCTGATATGAGATTTAACTGTCTTTTACTGAAGGGAAAATAAGAATTTAAAATTTGAGTTCAGCCAACTTAAATCCCTGGATAAAATTTTAAAACATTTTAGAGGAAAATAAAAGTCAAAACTTTTATAACACATAATTTGTAATACCCAGGGCAACCATCTGAAAATATTTTCTCTATGATGAATGAGGAAAAGCATAACAAGAGAGAGACAGTTTCTTTCTAAAAAGGGTGAAAATAACTGGATATTATGAAAAGAAAATCAACTGCAACTATATACTCATTAAATATAAGGCATTCAGATAGATAATATACTTAATATATTTAATTAATAATGTGGATTTTTAGAGCAAAACAAGGAATATGATTGTAACATACCAGTAAGCTAAGATGTATTATGATATAAAAAGTGATTTTTAAGGATGTCTGAAAAAATTCATAAAAATACTTATTAACTATCTACATAAACCCCTATAATACATGTAAGTCTATGTGTAAATGTGTAAATATACATATACAGTTTAAATGAAAATTTCTAATCTTGGCTGACAATGGTTCCCCCAAGAGTCAAACATTTTATTACAAAAAGCCCAACACCAGGCTGTAAGAAGTTCTTTTATGAGTTGTTGGTCAGGGTTGTCAACAGACTCCCAAAGCATTGCAGTCTATTACTACTGCCCTTCCTTCCTCCTCAGAAGTGTAAGAATAAATTCTTATTATTGAAGACACCATGTACTTCAGATGTGGGTTCACAATGACCTAACAAGCATACCCTGATGGTAATTTACTCAACAAAAGAGAAATCCTGCTGTTATCAGGAACAGAGTCAACTACCCAGGGCTAGCCATTTCATAGGAACCTATAACTGCCACTTTACTAAACCAGCATACTCTCAAACTGCATAGTAAATATTTGTTCTTAAATCCACAAATATTTGTCCTCCTTAGAAAACCAGAGCCAATCAAAATACAAAATTGTGGAGTCCAGTTCCAGTGGGTACATTGAGAAAACAATTCTGACAGTTAAGGCTCAAGGATCCTTTACAGAGGAGGCGACATTTTAACAAGCAGAAGAACAAGGATTTTGCTATAAGACTGTCTCCTAATGATCTCACAAGCAGCATCAACTAACCAATATGACTGCCTAAGCAAGAGCTGAACAAAAACAACAGTTGACAAGCAAAGGGCAAAGACCATGAGACTACAGTTAACTAGGGGATTCTAAGATTAGAAGAGGTGAAAATAACAACAGTTGATATCCAATACCAAATGACCAGCCTTGAAAATGTACAAATATACAAGTAACATACAGCCTGAGCAGGTTACATTTAAGAATATGTGTGCATGTATATACATGTGTGTGCGTGTATATATGTGTGTGTGTGTGTGTGTGTGTGTGTGTGTGTGTGAGTGTATGCATGTAAAAATAATTAATGACAAAAGAGACCAGGAATTTGAAAGAAAGGAGACATATATGAGGAGTTTTCAAGAGAGGGAGGGAGGAATGGAGAAACGATCTCAAAAATAAAAGAAATAATTTTTAGAAATAAGTGATCTTAAAGAAAAGATATAAACTTCTGTGCATTAGCAGGTATCATTAAGGAAGTGTATTGCAAAGCCACAATTATATGGAAAATATTAAAGTATTTGGAAAATACTTTTCTGATTTACAGTTAGGAGACATACAAAAAACATCCTGCAAGTCAAAAATAGTTCAAAAGGTAGACAATCTAATATCAATTAACAAAGATTTGAATGTGTTATTCACAAATGAAATGCACAAGAATACATACATGGATAGTCATACAATATTTTAAATCATTATGAAAGGTACTAAATTACAATGAGAAACCACTTTGTATGCTCACTATTCTCAGTAATAGAAGAGTGCATTAATAAATAATGGAATGAATAAAAATAAATGTATGCATGCATCAGTGGATGCTACTTGATCAATTCCGATTTAATTTAATCAGATGTAAATTGGTATCATAATTATAGAAAAAAATCTGTGACTAGTAGATAACAAATGAATATATGATTTGTCTCCAGTTAAGTTCTCTGCCTTGATTTCTGGCATTGAATGCAAATTCCAAGTTATCTGTAGTATTTTCTCAGTAGCCATTAGGAAAAATTTGAGATACTTTGCAACATAATTCTTTCACTCATTCATTTTTCCAATTGTCATATGTCCTATCTGTCCCCATCCAAGTTTATGTTTGTGTTACAATGTTTTAAGAATGGAAATGGTTTTAGTAAGACATACGCAGACCTCCCAAAGAAGTGTGGATCTGTCCATGGCCTTGAGATATTCTACACAGAAAAGTTATCACTCTTTTCCCTATGAAACAAATCTTTCAAAAATGTTGGAAGGCATCATGGTAAATCTTCCCGAAAGACATATATGTGTGTGTTTCGGTACAGAAAGAAACAACTGAATAATTACATGCATTGGATGTTGAAATTATGAATTTGAATAATTCATGATCCTAATCACTATTACCTAGAGTTCAAATGCAAAACTAGAAATGCTTATAATTTTACCTTTGACTCAATAATTTAAAGTATCTGTATAAAAGTGTGTAAGTAATAAAATAAGGTAAAATTTTTTATTAATCTTAAAATTGAGAAAAGTAGTACACAGAGACAAAAGTGAAACTTGCTCAGACTCTTACAGTATGTAGACTTGAAAATTGTTATGGTAGGCAGAATACCCAAAATAAAAAGTGTACAAATTTTAAACCTCAGAATCTGTGAATATATCTTATTACATGACAAAGAGAAACAAGCTTCCAAATGGATTTAGCTTTGCTCGTTGGCTGACTTTAAATTAGAGGTTGTCTTGGGTATCCTGTTGAGGTCAGTCAGTATAACCACTAGGGTCCTGTAAAATAAAAGTGCAAGTGAGTGTGGATGTCAGAGTCCAAAAGAGTTTTGGCAAATCTCTCTGCTGGTTTGGATGATGAAGGAAGTTACCACAAACCAAAGTGGGCAGGCAGCCTCTACCATCTGGAGAAAGCAAGGAAAATGCTCCTCCCTGGAGTCCAGCCTTAACAGACTCTTGGTGGAGTTTGAACTGAATGATTTTTCTTTTGTTTGTTTGTTGTTTGTTTTTAATTGAGGGAGAGTGAATGTAATCCCTTAATACCAAAACGACACAGTCAAATGTCCCAAATTTGGGGAAATCACAGAGGTCAATACATTGGGAGTGCAATGGATAAATCTTACCCTGTGAAAATAACCTTCTTGATGTCAGTGTGTTTTGTGTCAGGAAAGTGAGGCATATTTTAGGCCTCATGCATCTAGAGCTGTAAGATAATGAATGTGTGCTGTAAGTCACTATGCTTGTGGTCACTTTTACAGGAGTAGTAGGAAATGAAACTAAGACAATAGTATAAAAATTGGTAATACTGAAAAAATGAGTATGAAAAGTGGAAGTAAAACTAGAGATCCACACACACACACACACACACACACACACACACACACACAGAATGTAACACTAACCACTCATAAGAAATGAAGTTATGTCATTTGTGCCCATATAGATGAAATTGAGATCATTATGTTATATGAAATAATCCAGGGAAATGATGTCATTCCTATTTGGAATCAGATGAAATTACCTCAGAAACTGAGTGTGAAATAGTCTCTACCAGAGACTGGGAGGAAGGAGAGGGAAAGTTTAACAATGGATACAGTATTTGCTGTATAGGAGCAAGAAATTATAGTGTACTGTTGAACAGTAGGGAAACTTGAGAGAAAAATGTACTCTATATTTCTGAACCATAAGAAAGTTTTGAATATATTCCCCAAGAAAATGACAAAATTTTGAGGATATAAATGTGCTTATAAATATCATAATATGTTTACACATGTCAAGACATTTATCCATTAAGTGTATTTTTTATGATTTCTTGTGTCCATTTGAAAAATGAGGTATTACAAATAGATTTATAGTGGAATAATTTGAGTACACTATACTAGTCAAAGTTTCTCTGTACTGAGACCTAAGGATATTTTTGTTTTATCTGCTGTAAATGTTAATATATGAGGCAAACAAATTCTACTTCATCTAATTTTTTTAAAAGAAAACAAACTTCATTTCATGCTCTAGGAGACAACATTTAGCACACCATTTAAAGGCTTGTATAAATTTTGGGAGGTTTCTGGTTAAAATTGAGAAAGTCCCTTCTGAAAGTCAGGAAAAATTATTATCTCAGCCTTAAGAAATAAGTTTGATTTATTTGAAGACTTTTCCAGGAAGATTGTCTCATTTCCAATAACCCTTAAGAAGCTTTTATTTACTGTATTGGTATTTAACAGTGAAAGGAATTGTCTTCTTGTTTTGACAGATGTTTGGAAGTGCAGCAGATATGAAAGACTTGAAAGTCCATCTGATCCTAACTGTACCAGAGAATGCTGGGGTTCTCTCTTTCATGAGCTGCTTAGTTCTAACATGAATCATACAGGGAAAGAAACTCTGGAAATGTAGATGTGCAGTCATCTCAGCAATACACAAATGACCCTAACAAAGGTTTCAGGTGGACAACCAAATGCTCCACAACTGATACTGCTAATTATGTAACTTTAAATACTTAAAAGTCCATGTGCTGTTCCAGGTTCTTTGAAAGTATATTTTGACAGATCCATATGAATGATAGAATCCTTGGGCATCTTTCTAGTCTTCTACCAGTCACAGCATCCAAAATACTTGCAAACGGTCCTTTAGTTTGCATGTTAAATGGTAATATGTTTTATGAAACTATAAATTAATCCTTAACTTTTATATTTTTGGTTGTGAGCCTAGCCTTTAGTGGCTAAACCATCTCTCTAGCTCTAATCCTTAACTTTTATTTTAACACATTCCCTGAAGGTAAAAACAAAAGAAAACTTATTCCTGCTATTATCAGTTTGCATTATTACTTTATTTTTTAGTGGCACTTTTTACAACATAAGTGGTATGTAACTACAAGCATCCTAAATAATAGTAATAAAATATAAACAAATTGGAATAAGACATAACACAAATAATTAGAGAAGAAAAAGAGACAAAGAAAAGCACAAAAAAACATATACAAGCACAGAGACTCACAAAGTTGTATACAGACTTCCTCCCATACAAACATGGTATGTACTCACTCATATATGGATTGTAGGCATAAATCAAAAGGATTTCCAGCAATTTCTACAATCCACACTGCCAGAGAAGCTAGGAAACAAGGAGGTCCCTAAAAGGGGCATACATGGTCCCCCAGAGAAGGGAAAAGGGACAAGATCTCCTGAGCAAATTGGGAGCATGGGGGGAGGGGAGAGGGAATTAGGAGAAAGAGAAAGGGAGAAGAGGAGGGAAGAAGAGGACATGAGGGAGCAGGAAGGTTGAGTCAGGGGAAGAACAGAGAAGAGCAAGATAAGAGGTACCATAATAGAGGGAGCCATTATAGGCTTAAAGAGAAATCTGGCACTAGGGAAATGTCCAGAGATCTTCAAGAATGAACCCAATTAACAATCTAAGCAATAGTGGAGAGGCTACCTTAAATGGCCTTCCTGATAATGAGATTGATGACTACTTTATATGCCATCCTAAAGTCTTCATCCAGTAGCTGATGGAAACACCCACAGCCAAACACTGAGCTGAGCTCTGGAATTCAGTTCCAGAGATGGAGGAGTGATGAGCAAAGGGGTCAAGACCAGGCTGGTAAAACCCACAGAAACAGCTGACCTGAATAAGGGGAGCTCTTGGGCCCTAGACTGATATCTGGGAAACCGGCATGGGACTGATCTAGACCCTCTGAATATGGGTGTTTGTGAGGAGGCCTCGGCAATCTATGGTGCCTTTGGTAATAGATCAGAATTTATCCCTAGCATAGGAATGGACTTTGGGAGCCCATTTCACATAGAGTGACACTATCTCAGCCTAGACACATGGGGGAGGGCTTAGGCCCTGCTCCAAATGCTATGACAGACTTTGAAGATCCCCCATGGAAGCCCTCATATTCTCTGAGAAGCAGAAAGAGAGTTAGTGGGGGGCAGACAGGGGAGGAGGGAAGGGGATTGACATTAGCTTGTTTCTATTTTAAATAAAACAGAAAAAAACCAATATCAGAAGTCATAATATATAAGCAAATGACCTATATGCTTAAAAAAATTTCTAGACAAAGTATTATGAAAAAAATCCCAAAATACCATTGAGTTCATTTTGTGTTGGCCATCTACTGCTAGGCATCGGGCCTGCCCTTATGTGTGGTTTGTATACCCAGTGAGATTCCATTGGAGAAAACTAATTTTTCTTCTGCAAGTGGTTAACAATTGGAGATAGTCTCTTTGTTAGGGATGAGGGAATGTGTCCAGTTCCCTCTTTCAGTACTAGACTTCCAACTGGCTTGCACCTGTGCAGATCCTGTGCATACTGCCACAGTCCCTGGGACTTCACATGTGCCTCATTTCTCCTGTGTTTAGAAGGCCTGGTTTTCTTGGTGTCTTCCATCCCCTCTGGCCTATGAAATCATTCCTCCTCGTCTGTTGAGTTTACATTGTCACACAAAAAAATGAAAGACCCAGAGATTGATATTGGGATTCAAACTTCAAGCAGAAAAACAGAAAAACAAAGTAGTGGGCCACTAGCTCTTACCACTACTTCAGGCTGAAAGACAATCCTAGCTCCACCAAATCTCAGAGTGTTGCCTCTCCTCAGCATGGCTGGAGAATGAATGCCTCATCTGAGTCCCTGTTCCTTTCATAAATACTTCTCATGAGTCCTGGCATTAAAGGTGTGAGCTCTAATTATCTTTTAGACTGATTCAATGAAAAGAAAATTGTTGTACATGCATGTGGGGTTTAAAATGATTAGGAAGAGAATTTCTGTAGGAGGTGATTGGGGGTTGGGTGGGAAAAGGGGAGTGGGGGAAAGAGTGGGAACTGTGGGTGGCAACTAAAATAAAAACTTTTAAATAAAGAATTCTTAAAAAGTGTAAGACTACATGTGGTAACTCAAAGATAGCATTGGAGAATTATAATAAATTAGGAAAATGAGCATATTAAAAAAAGAAAAGAGAAGTTCTCCCCCTCCAATAACTACTTAATTCAACTCTCCCTGTTTTAAGGTACTACTGATAATAATTTCTCTAACACATCTTAACAAGAATATAGCAGAATTCCAAGTGGTTATGCATTCCTTAAATAAGGACAAGTGATTTGAAAGAAAATAGCTCAAATGCTTGACTGGGAGCAGTAGTCCTGGGAAAGTGATAGTGAAACACATTCTGTGATATATTCTGAATGGTGTTCATATCCCCTCCAATTGTTTCAATTTAAAATCAAAATAGAAGTTGTTGAAGAACGAAATTTTAATGTCTTGCTTTGCAAAACAAACACATGTGTTCAGCAGTTAGTCTATGTCACTATATTAGAGGGTAATGAAATTGTATGCAAAATCTCAGCATTTAGATTTTAGATGTTTTACTTTTCATTAAGTCAAGAAACTATGAAAAATAAAAGGCAAATATATTTAGAGAAATGTACAGTGTGTCCCAGCATCAAAAGAAAGTGGGATAACTTAATAATTAACAAAGTGAATTGTCTACAGAGAGCAAATGTTTCCTAAGCTACAGACATACAAGTAACTTAATGAAGAGAATTTGCTTCAGTTTTGAAGTAACCTAATTTTTGGTTTGGAAAATATCACCTGAGGAAAAACCTTTTTAATGAATTCAACACGGAAATAAAATCAATTCACTTTCAAATATTCTTTTGAACTTTAAAAAGCTAATGTACTTAAACATAAAGCCCAGTACCAGCCTGGAAATATGAACTATTTTGCTATAAATTTGCTTCTGTTATATCTACTTAGTACACATATTTGTTAAATTAAATTAAATGAAAAGTAGTACTTTGAACTCATGTTCAGTTTATGAGTTAAATTTTCCAAGTTATACACACACAAAAAAATCTTATTTTATTTTTCATCAAGTTAAAGGTAATCTCCCTTAAAGTAAGTGTAAGAGTGACATTGTCAAAGTTGAGCTTATTTGTCAATACAAAATGTCATGTGTTTTCATTTTTTTATTTTGTTACAGTATGTGGTAAAAATATACCATACATATGTATAGTTGGAATCATGTTTATAATTTTTACTATGTTTAACATTAAACACAACCCTTATGCTCATCGAAAAAATCCTTTTATGTAATAGGGGTATATTTTTTAATAATTCTAGTAAAGGAAAGAAAGTCAGTCATTGAAATTGTCAAACTATTTTGTAGGATTTGGGATTTTATTTT